TGAAAATAATGTGAATACATCTCATTGGAGTGAATACACATTCAAGATTTCATCTTTTTAGCAAAGACACACAAGATTCATCTTCTGTTTACATATGGAGTGTGATGAATACGTACGCGTTCAGAGGTCGCTTTAAAATCCCAGTGCGTGCAGATTTCACTCATTAAAAAAAAACATTTTAATTACTGCCACCAATGTGTCACACAATGGATCATATTCACAAAATAAGCCTTCAGCTTGATACAACAGCAGAAAAAAAATAAATAATTGACAGCATCGCAGAGTTTTCACTAAGCTTGAACAACAGAAGCTGAGCTGTCAGTCTGTATCATATCTCCAAAGGGGCTCTGTGGACCGCAAGCCTTTGATCTCCTCACTGTGTAGAGCACCGGTGTTTGTGAGGGGAAGGGAATATCAATGGAAATATTTAAATATTTACAGTACAAAGCCTGAACAGAACTTCATACATCAAAGCCTCAAATTCTCGATATACACCGAATAAAGCAGGTAGGCTCTTTAACACAACAATGAACTACTTTCGTCCAACTTTTTACCCGACATTTGCACAATAATGAAAAGCAACCTTTTTGTTTTTGCTGCAGGGAAGCAGTCATTTGCAAAAGGTTGAATAAAAGCAAATGTTCAGACAAACAGAAAATTGCTAAATGAACACTGCCAGGTCCTGTATATCCCACTGACTATGGATCCTGCACACATATCTCACAAATGATATGTCAGAACAACATGCATCATTACCAAGTGGAGTGTCAGTTATGGTTTCAGCTCTCCTTTTCTGACCGCATGTTTATGCTGATTGCTGGTTGGTCTCCGAGAGCTCTTGTCGGAATATGAATGAGTAACACCAGTCCAGATGGAGGCTGAACACCTCACAATGTTCTGCTCGTTGGCAGATGTAACTATTCCTGTGCCTGTATGTCTTTTCATTATTTATAAATAAAAATACCATGGACTGCAAAGTTGTATTAGTTTTCAATACCTGGGTTTATATAGTATTATAGTAAGTACACAAAAGCCTGTCCATTCTGAAAATCAAAACAAGCCAGTTGGTGGCTATATGTATGTAAAAACAGAAAATACACAATTTGTTTTGTTCCACAAAAAAATACTTCAATCACTTTTTTCACAATTTTTACAAAAACAAAATGTGACAAAACATTTTTTTTGGTTTTATAATTTTTAAAAAAAAAAAGTATGTTTTGCCACATCTGGGCTAGCAGTTTCCACCTGCTTTCAGTCTTCATGCTAAGCTAGGCTAATTGACTGTTGGCTCTGGTATCTCATTACATGAGATTAGATATCATGTGGGCCATCTGTATGTATAGTTACATAAAATTGAGTTTTCCTGGTCAAGCCAAGAAACCTCCTGTGTGGTTTAGTCCTAATCCCTGCCAGCAGACCTACAGCAGCACTAAAGGCAGACTCATTAGCTGATGCTAATGTTGGAAGATCGAGCTCATGAAAATATAATTTTAGTGTCTCATGTTGCAAATAAGATGCACTGTAAAGAGTGCTGTCATGGCTGCTGAATTCATTATGAGGTTGTGAAACTGTTAAAACTTCAATGCGAATGATACAGGATGATAATGCATTGCATTGTGTGTGAGTGGGTGTGGGTAGGTGTGGATGGATGGGGTGGGAGGGTCATGGCTGCGAGGATCCTGTTTCCAATACGATGCAAAATGTCTTCCTGTTTTTTTTTTATCCCACACTAAGCTACGCCTGAGGGAAACAGCCCGGCTTCCAGTAAGAGTGAATACACAATTAACTCTACAAATACACACATTTCCATACACACTCACTCTGTGATGTGCATACTTAAATGCTCACATGTCCATCCATCCATGGACGTACAGTATGTGCACGCATCATTCACACCTTCCAACTCATTTCTCCCTTATGCCCAATAAATAGCCTTATTTGATACATTCTCTCATTCCACACTATCTGCACTTTCTTTCACCCTTCACTTGCTGTCTTGGCCAATAAATGGATTATGTTAACTAAAATAAGACACAAGAAAGGAGGGGGGAAGAGGGGAAAGGGGCTGTAAGGAGGTAGAGGTGGGGGTGGGGTCTCAAAATGGGGTAAATCAATCTTCAATCAAACCGGGCTCTGCATGTGGCCCCTCAGTCTCTCCTGTATCTTTACTCGGGAGTATTGGCAAAGACTGGCAGCGTGAGTTTCAAAGTGGGCAATTAGTCGTGGGTATTCCTGCGTTCAGAGCTCTGTTTATGTTAATATGAGCAGAAAAGAGAGATTTCTTTCTAGACAGTAACAGGGAAAGGGGGAAGGAGAGGAAGGGAAGATGAGGAGAGAAGAGGAGGAGATCAAAGACGAGGCTGATTCTCCTGGTCTGTGGTCTGTTACCACTGATAAGGTGGATCAGGAGGGGGTGCAGACCTGTGCACGCGCACACACACACGCACACACACACAGCTCCTGTCTTTATCACAGCCGTTCTGTAATCACAGTCCAGCCATATGATATTTAGACTGTAATCCTCAATGACACGAGGCCCAGTCTATATTACAGGATGCTATCCAGAGAGGAGAAGCCAGCCGAACAGCATGCATGCACGCACGCACGCACACACGTGCGCACGCACACACGTGCAAGCACCGTGACACACACGCACACACACCACTGATTTGGTAGAATGAAACCTAGCATGGTGCTGAAAAAGGTTAGCTTTCATTGACACAGAGACAGTAACAGACAAGCCCCAGCGACCCCCCCTCCTGGCCTCCCATTATTGGTTTCCAAGTGAATTGATCAAACATGAGACTCACAACAGCTCTGAGCAGAAAACTGCTTGGTTTAATCCTGCAAAAGGAGTCCAAGCTATGGACAGAGGGGATAGTGACCTACATAGAGGATATCAGTTTTTTTGTTTATCAGATAAAGCCACTTTCTTTGTTTTTAGGACTCAACATCAAGGATTACCAGCATTGTTGGGCATAGGTGATGAAGCATTTAATAAGAATGAATAAATGGAAAGGCACCAATTTAGTTCATCAACCATCCATTTAATAAACTCATGTTAATTGATTATGAATTACACCATATTGCCCACCCGTCCTTACAAAGTCAGGCGTATACTGCTTGAGGATGTATTGAAGTTACATTTCTTTCCATTATTTCAATTGATTTGCATGAAGCCAGTAACATGTAGAAGGACACACTTGCTACATTAAATAAGCTTTCTACTGAACAGTAAATGGTTTGACACAATGACAGACAAAATACTTGTATTGAATGGGAATCTAAATTCAGTCTTGAACAGAATGTGCATGTGCATGAGTGATTGTCTGACTTAGCCCTGCCACTCTGCAGGTTTTCCTGTATTTTCTATTTTAATCCAGTGTTTTTCAGTGAGAATCTTCAGAGTCTACCGGCATGCTATAAGCTCTGTCAGGTAGGCACAGTGGTGCTTTGTGCCAAACACTGATAGTATAGTAACATGCTCACAATGAAAATGCTAACATGCTGAATCGCTAATGTTTAGCAGGTATAGTGTGTTGACCATGGTTAATATCTTAGTTTAGTATGTTACCATTTGTTCATTAGCACTAAACATAACAGTACAACTGAGTTTGATTTGAATATAATTAGTCTTGCTGGTATATGGTCATTAACCAGAGTATTGGATAATAGTAATTTTGACCTGATGGTGGCGCTTGATGAGAAGTCAGAAGATCATCAAAGTGATTATAGTTCATCCTGAGGGAGACATAAATGTCTGCGTCAAATTCTATGGCAATTCACCTGATAGCGGTCAAGATACCATATTTCACTCAAAAGAACATACGAACCTCATGGTGGCGCTAGAGTAAAAATCAGCGGATCACCAATAGTTGTTGAAATGTTTCAGTCTAGACCAAATGGATGGACCGGCTGATAGACAGACAAATGTGGACAGCTAAAAACAACTGACACTGCCATCCATGGAGCCATGCAGTTAGCTTCACTAAAAATACCTTTACTGAATGGGAATCAAAACAGGCACAGCACAAATGTGTAGGTTTCTCTTTTAAATCTATCTGACTTCACTACTTTTTATTTACCTGTATATGGAGACGTTTTCTATGAGGTCTGTAGTCTCTGTGTCTGTGATGATGATGCCCTTCGGTGAGATTGTCAGTGTTACTTTCCGAAACTTCTTAGCACTGGCTCTGGCCTGTGGATATGAAATATAAAAAAAACACAAATCAAATGGAGAAAGTCTTGCCACAGATATACACAAAGTGAGTCTGTCACTCTGACATAAATATTAAATCATCTTATTTCTCATTAAACCCTCAAATGCGACAGTAGCTGCCCGAGCACATTTAAGCAGCCTGCATGAGTTGCCCCAGAAATGTGGGGAATTTATAAAAGGTGACAGAACTGGGAGGGGGAGGAAAGCTGCAATGTGGAGCCCAGAACGAGTACTCGAGGTCGGGCTGGCAGCCACCGACTCCCCCTGCCGCTCTGCTCCATCTGGAGTTTCAGAAAATACGGCCATAGTGCTGAGCTTGCGGTCTGTGAAAGCGCCTGTTGACAATGACCTCCTTATCGTGCAATTAGATAGCAAATGAGGGCAGTTTAGTTTTACACCCAAATGATATCGGGTTAAGAATCAATAGAGTGACTGAAGGAATACAGAGGGGGAAGAAGAAAGAAGGGAAATTAAAGGAAATGATTTCATCATTCACTGCACATTTTTACATTCCTTCACTGAGGACTCTTTCATATTTGCAGGATAAAGTCCAACAAGGATGAAAAGGAGTGGAGTCTTTGCTTAAACATAAACTAGGGCTTCTGAAGGACAACAGGAATGGTGCCGCGGCTTGCTGTAGGAGCCTGAATGCCCTGGAGATGGTGACAGCGAACAGCACATTGTGCTTAAACACAGCACTTACAATGTGGGAATCTGACATTATAATAGGGAGGGAAAGGGTGCTGTGGCAGCTCATTCATGTAGGAAGTGCTAACAACCACATTTTCTTCTGTCATGTTACTCATGTCGTGCCACAAGGCAAAAACCAATCTGTCAGCTTGAGATACGCCAAGTTCAGCCTCTCTCTATAATGTTTGGTCCCTCGGTCTTGTCTTATCATGAGTGACTGAAGCATGTAGCAAATGGAAATGCCACAAATGTATTCAGTAATCCCATTCAGGTTGATTGGTTTCCAAGGGAACAGACAGAGACCAATGAGGTGCTCTTTCTGTCCTGGTGTAAATCAATTGAATCTTAATCCTGCCATTAGGTTCGGTTCAGTCTCTAATTGAGAAGTGGGAGGTTTATGATTAGGCTGCCTGTGCCATGCTCTTTTTTCTGCAGAGAAAGCCCTTCCAAAAGATTAGACATTCTTATTGTTGGTCAAAAGGTGTGCATGTGTCTGAGCATGAAAGATAAATGACAGAAGGAAACAGTTTGTGCGCATAAACACATGAAAATAATCGTTTTTTTTTTGTCTGTTTGCAGTTTTCATAGCAGTCTTGTGAAAACCGACACGATTCTGAATTGATGTAGAAACCCGTGCTCAGAAATCCCCTGTACAGTACGGCTCAGTGTTAAGTAAACATCATATCACTGATTTGACTGCTGCACATGTGCAACTCTTGATAATCCTGGATTAGCAGCTGCGTTTCCATGCGTCCATACTGACCTTGATATAAACATGACCCAACTAGAACAACATCCAAGAAGAATTACACAAAGTTGAAGGTGAAAGACACTGATTACTCAGTTTATAAGTAGAATATAGTCCGCTGAGCAGTTGAACAGCTCACAGAACATTTGATTCTAAATATTTTCACTGATCCATGAAGACTGAACTAGATAATTATGGCAGTGTCTACAATGGTTTTCAGGCAATGGGAATACATTTACTGAGCTGTGACTGACTGAATAACTGACATAAGGGACATCTTATATTCAAATTCAGTCTTCTTTTCATTGTCTGTAGTGGTACCCAAAGTTGTATTACACTGTAGATATGATGCAACAATTTACCAATTTATCATAAATCTGACAGAAATATTGTCCTGGGTCATCAGAATAAGCTGGATAAAAACTAAATTTGACAAGTAGCCCCCCTTTCAGATAATATGCACTGCAGTTTGAGGCTGTAATTTCACAAATACACAAGAGAATTTCTATAAAAAGAATCGCTGTAATTGAAATCTCCACAATGTCACTGTAGAAATTTCACGTCGCTCTTGAAGGTGCTGACAGCTTACAGAATTTTACACTGTTTGCAAACCTCAAAATCAGTACAATCATGCAAGATTTGACAATACATCAGTGAGTAAAACGTCAGAGTCAATATCAACATTTTAAGTAGGGCTGGGACATCGTATCAGAAATTATGATACCAGTACCCTTAAAGTGATACCAATACCAATAGAGTACTTCATTCAATACCTTTTTTTGCCTTCAGAGACAGAAACCAGTTTTCTCAATCCTTCATGAGGGGCTTTATCATGATACTCATATTCCAAGTCTTTCTTAAAATAATCCTTCGGCATGTTTATTCATTTATTTTTTCACACACACACTATAGCTTATATAACTTTGGAACGGTTTGGCGGCACCATGGCACGCTGAACTGTCAACTCCATCAAATACATCACGCTCAACTTCACTACCACAAACTGTATGTAGCTGGTAGATGTAGCTGTGGTAGTGTGCCAATCCCACGTCACATTAAATCAAATAACACATTTTGGGTGCTTTCATTGCCTTTAATTGATAGTGACAGCTGTAGAGTGTCAGGAAATGGGCGGGAGAGAGAGGGGATGACATGCAGCAAATGGCCACAGGTTGGATTCAAACCCATTGCCACTGCACCAAGATCTTAGCATTGGCGCATGAGCCACCAGCTTTACCAGGTAAACTACCTGGGCTCCCCATGCAGGTAGCATTTGATTAGAGATGTTTTGATATTACTTGGTTCCTTCAGTCAATACCTTAAAAGGAATAGAGTACCGATATCTGGCTTTAATTCTAAGGCTGTATAAGTCAGAACGGGACCAGTGACTCACCGTGGCAACAATTCTGCGAATGGCAGCTGAGGCCATGTCCTCTCCTTTGGGCTGGCCCACCAGAGTCATACCCAGGTACTTTACATTGAACACCATCCCCTCCAGTAGAGTCTCCTTGGTGTCTGTCCAGTTCTCTGGCAGCTCTGGTTGGACAGAAAGACAGGACATAGGCAATCAACAAAATACTCTGATACGGCTAAACAAGGGTATATAATTAGAAGAATTTGGTAGTGAAATGTGCTTCACTAAATAAGAGTTCAGACAACTATCAATGTTTTCATGAGTTCACATGAGAATACATTTGCTAAGCTGTGACTGACTGAATTACTGACATTCAATTGATCATAAATGACCATCCTGACAAAATATTGTCCTGGCTCATCAGAATAAATTGGATAAAACTAAACTTGACAATCTTCAGTTTCAGATAATAAACACTGCAGTTTGAGGCTGTAATTTAAATATTCTACGCAACTATCATCTTTTCGAATACTTGTAGACAGATGCTGGCAAATGATAGATAAATGTCACATAATATACACAAACAGTCAAATTTGACTACATAGATGGTCACTCAGTCATGGAGTGACCATGCATGAGATCAAATTAGAAGTTGATTTGAAAGGGGATTCATATGTTAGAAAAGATATGACAGAAATGTGTCACAATTCTTAAAATATAAATGTAAAAGTCTGTCAGAGTCAGTGTCTTCATTGCATAGTTTGCTGAACAGACTGTTTACAATACTGAGCACAGACAGCATGAGAGCTGGCAGAGTAACATCACAGCTGAGCAGACATTGCTGAGGATATACAGTAGACTTTGCACAAATTATGTGTGATAAAATGATCACACAGAATGTTTTATATAAAAATTATTTTTGTTGAATAATGTCTCTCTGTAAGAAGTCCACAATATGTTTTTTTTTTTTTTTATTGCACTTACATAATTAGAAAAGTTGGAAATCATTTATGCACTGGAAGATAAGAATAAGATAAAAAGACCAACTCTACTCTCTTTGCTTTGAATACATCCTATTGAAATGAGATCTGTTATATCGTCTCTGAGTGGATAAGAAGATTTCAGCAGTAGAAAACATAAATTGTTGCACAGGCTCCACAAACCCAATGTCAGCTGGACTCTGATAGACTGCACAGAATGGCTGCAACGCCCTGCTGTTGCTGTGATTTCCAACAGGTAGCAACAAGCTGTCCTCTAACTGACTACGGTGGGCAGGGAGGGGGACTGCGCACATGCAGAGAACTTAAAATATCTCTCGACAACACCTGGACACCCTGCAGTGGAGCATCAGGAGAGGAATAACTTGCAACAGATCACATTCTGTGCTAAACTTAATGGGCCGATAACAAACCTGATCCATTAAACAACAGCATTTCAAAGCGTTCTTTTAACACCAAAGTTGCAGTGATTAAGACGACCACACAACGCATGAATAACCAACTAAAAAACCTGCACAAAGTTCCTTTGTTTCCCCTCTCCTTAGAGGTAAATTTGCTCATAAACACACACACACACACACACACACACACTGAAAGAAGAGAGCAAGACTGACAACAAGTCTGAACAAAAAGAGCATGTAGAGAGGGGAAGACAAGAGAAAGAGACACACACACCATCACTCTACTGGGCTACTGGCACCAGACACTCCACATGGGTTGAGCCATCTGTCACTGGCAGGCCCCATGCAGCTGTGAAGGCGAACAGCAGAGAACACCATCCCCTTACAACGCTTCCAACAACTCTGAATTATTAACTAATCTTCAGTCATACTATGGGGGCTCGCTTCAAAACCAGAGCGCTCATAATAACGATATTAAACGTGATTGCTTAGGTACACGGTGGACCGTGGACATGGTTTGTTGCTTTTGATCTTTCGGGATGAGAGCTATGTGAGGATTAAGAGTAAGAGTCTCATATTTTGTCCAACATGGAAGTTATGACTTTAATACTGTAAGCAATTCAAACAGCAAATGCAATACATTTACTGTTCTGAGTCAGCAGGGTCACTACAATTCAAAATGGTTCTTTAATGCCATTTATTGATCCACAAGGGTGAAATCCATCCTTTCTCTTTCCCCGTCTTCACAGGAGGTCAGAGGTCAGGTTCAGCTACAGAACAGCACAAAGGGTTTCAGTCTTTTCAGTCTCTAACAACATAAAGGGATAATAACAAGATCCACTATTTCTAGAAGGGTTTTCTTTAGTTATGAAATAGTGTTTTACAAAAGGATTGTTTTTAATGCTTTAAACATCACGTAACATAATTCCATTCACTTCCAATGCGTCGCTGTGGCAGCAAAATTCTCAGCAGTGGACATTTGACAATCAAGGAAAATAAAACCAAAACTACCTGCATGACTCCACACCACTCATAAGATGTGAGAGTACTAATTGTAGAAAACTAAAAGGTGAACCAGCATGCTATTAAAAAGGAGTGGAACAAATATAAGAATGGGGTTCACAAATTGAGCTTTCATTAAACACATCCCCATCAACAGCAATTGTTCGTTTCTAGGTTAGCAACAGTAACTAGGCACTACAGGCCTGTCAAATCCCAAAATACAGGAGCAAAAAAAGTGAACCGAATGGATTAAAAACTGTGTTTATCTGATTAACATAAGCTGCAAACCTTTCACCCAGCTAACAAGCTTACTATGTGCACTTAGAATATAGAGGTAGTATATCTAAATACATTATATTCAAGGATTACAGGTTACACTAGAAGATTTTCCAGTGTGGGACTGGAACTGTGTGGGAGCAAAGATGCTTCTATCAGAGTCTGGAGTAACGATAGTGTTTTTTTTCCTGCACCTTATCTGGTTTGGGTGAGTTTAAGCCAAACCTGTTGGTAGAAGTAATGTTACTTTGCCAAACTGATTGGTTAGTCCTCATTATAACTGGTAAGGATTTCTGACTTTAACCTGGGAAAATCTAGTTTTTGCCTCAGTCAGTATTTAAGCATTATACCTATGTAGCCACCATATGGATACAGTATTTAAGACTATTTTACAGGGCAACAGTTTTGAAACGCGTCAGCTAGTGGAAGCATTTCCCACCATTTCATTAATCTTTATTGTCTTTTTAAGCCTTAAGGACACAGTTAAAGAAGTTTCTCATTTAATCTCGAACCTTATGGCAAGATGCTGCCTTGGTTTTATCTGCTTACAGGTTTGTTTTTTCCGATTTATGCTTGCTTGTGTGTGTTGTGTATGTAGAGATTGTTTGCGCCATGTGTTTTTTGTTTTGTATTGTTGGTTTGTTTGTGAATAATAATGCCTGCATTGTAATTACTGTCTTATATATGTATGCATTTTGCTTTGTATTATTGTGCAAATAAACTAAACTAAGCATTATCCTACTTGCTGCAGCTGATAAAATCTACTAACACTCAATCATTCAAGTCACAAAATCAATGGTTATTACCTAGAAATGCCTGCCTTTGTTTAACTCAGTGAAATCAGAGACCTATTGCTTAAAGAATGTATATGATTTTTGGGATCAGTATATACGCCACTGTTGTATCATTATTATAAACTGCATATGCACCACGCCAGAATAGAAAACTTGACAGGCGCAGCAACTGTAACCAATTCCAAACAATAAAAATAATACTTTAATATCAATCCTTCATAGTTTGGGTCAAAAGATTTATTGAATAACTGCATTCTTTAAAAATGTCACAGCACTACAAAAGCTTAAGTGCTATAGTCCATGTTGTGCCTTTACCAGGCTACACACATGAATTATTAAAGAGCTTCATGTTGATGCTGCAGGGTTTCCAATATATTATCCCCCTAAAAGAGGAGCGCTTAAATTTTTAATAAATCCTATGTGAGTCTACTGAGGGCCTGGGACTGATAAGAGTGACAGGAACACGCGAAGGGAGGCTAATTGGATTTTAACATGTGGAAGAAAATACTGAGGAAGACTGAAAATTTGAACATTTATTTTTATTAAATATGCAGTACAACTGTCACCTGTGTTAGTGTGAGTGTGTTTAAGAGTGTGTATCAAGGTGATCTAATTTAAAAGGGCACAAAACAAGATTAGGGAGGGTGCGGCTGTGGTGGTGCGCTGATTACGTTTGCATCTTTATTAAACTGATGCCTGGCAACACTTTCACACCCAGGCTGTTGCAGCAAGTGAACTGATTCCATTATGCTCACACAGAAGCATTACAACGAAGGCACAGAGCGATTTGATGACATTTTGTTGCACTGGGCCTCAAGTTATTAAGTTATAATACCATTGCCCTGGTAAAATATTCTACATTCTCTGTTGAACGAACTAGCGACAAGTGTAGCATTTCACAGTAGCTGAGTTGACTGTTGTGGTATAATGGGTACCATGTGCTCTGCACGCCTTCAGCTACATGCGGTGATCACCAGCTGTCTCTTTGAGCTCCACGCGCAGTAATTTAATTTGCACTGAGAAGTCAAAATCGTACCCGGGTGGATTCTGCTCTGGCTGAACACCTCCACTGATGGTTAATTAATAAAACAAACAGGAGCGCGTACATATGCACATAGGCATAATAAAGCACGATGGGGATACACACACACACACACACACTCCCCAAGATATAATCATCTGAGTTAATTGCAAAAACTGTTGGAATAAGTATGTGCTCCGGGGTCAAGATAACAAAAGCATTTCCTGTTTTCAATTTCCCTACAGGTCAAAAAGTAGGCTATTTTTTTCTACGGGAGGTTTCACACAGCATCTTGGTCTAAATCCAACAGAATCAGTACAACATCAATATGAGTGAGGAAGCATTCAGCTTGCCTTTAAGACCTAAGTGACACCCGCATCCTCCACATCCTCCGTGATATAATCTCTTTGCCTTACTGTTTTACTCATCCGACGGAACTTTGAATCTAGGACACCACCTTGACAGGGAAAATAGGCCGCACATTCAGGGAAGATAGTGGGCTAGGATGGTGTGTGTGTGTGTGTGTGTGGGAGGGGGGGTGTAACTGGTTTCCTGATACTGCCTTGAGGGGGAATCAAGTAAAGCCAAGTCCTTTCTTTCAAGCTCTCACTCTTTTTTTTTTCTTAATTCTATCCCTCCACTCACCTCTCTCACACACACACACTGCATCTTCCCTTCCTCTGGCTCCGA